AACATGAAGGGCATCTTGTGGGGGCCCAGCGCTGTCTGTGTACTCCTTCGTGAGGCAGCCCAGGCTCCCCTTGAAGGCTTGGTGTCCGTGCTCCACTTCCCCGGGGACAGGGCAATTTGATGGCCCCTTCCTGAGCCCTCCTTCTTCCCTGTGTCTTTCAATGAGCTCTTCTGCCCAGGTGAGGCCCCTGGCTTTGAGCGGCATAGGTCAGTGCATCCTGTTGGGGTCATGGGCCATGAGTGAGGCAGCATGGAGTCATCGAGAGTCAGCCTTTGGGCCAACTAGGGTTTTCTTAGGGAGCCAACCGAATACCCACCGGGAGGGATGGTTCCTCCAGGAGGATCGCTTCCTTGGGAATTTGACCCTAGGAGCACGCATTTCCTGAAGCCCTGCAGGGTGACGGTCCAGACAGGAAAGGGTTCCTTCAGCCCAACAGAGCAGCTCCCAGCTGAAACTCGGTGGGCATGTCAGGCCTCGAGGACTGCCGAGGCCACATGATGGAGGCCACAGGGGCTCTGGGGTGCCCTGGGGGTCATGCTGGAGTTCTTCCCCGAAGAGGGGTGGGTGATAGGGCTCACCCAGTCAGGCTGCGGAGATTCGAAGAATGCGCCCCACCCACGGCCCTGAATGGAACCAGCCCTGTTGAGCAATGGGCCATTTTAGTGGCGCTTCCTTGAGCCTGTTGGGGGTGGCGCTGTTTCACTGCAGTTGGGTCAAGACTCAGCTGTTGCCTGGTGGCGCTGTGGGCTGGTCCTGGGGCTCATGGGCTTTAGGCCCAGGGGGCAGCTCCTGTCCCACTGGGGTAATCCCTTCCTTGAGGTCCAGTGGTGGGAAGAGTGGCCTCCTGAGGTGGGAAGACCTGCTGTCAATGGGACCTGTCCTGGGAATTTGCCACCTAGGCTGCTTCTGAGCCATGGAGTCACCTATAGGGTGGCAGGGTCTTGAGCCCACAGAAAGGAGAGGACCATGTGGTTCCTGATTGGCTGAGTGTGGCCCGGCTCTGTGTGTGGGAGGTGTGCAGGGCATGGATGGGGCTCATCAGAGAAAGCATGTGGCCCTGGAGGCCCCCGGACTTTGATTTCTGGTACATGCTTGGAGTGGGCACCAGGGTGGCCCTACCATGCCCAGGGCAGGCTCTGTGACTGCCAGGTCTGGAGTGGCTCTTGGCACCAGGACCAGCCTCCTTGACTCAACCAACCTTGAGCAGGTTGGTTGCCCTGGTCCCAGTGTGACCCTGGGGTTGCTCGGGGGATCCGGCCCGGGCAGTGGAAGTACTCTTGGGGCCTGCAGTAGGGCACAGCCCAGACCTCTCGCCCGAGCCCAGTAACCCGCTTGCCCTGTCTTTCCAGGGTTTGGTGGCAGGGAGGGCCAAGGGTGCTCACTCCACGTCCGTGTTGGGTCAGTGTTCTGTAAGGATCCCATCACAAGGGTATCCCCTAACCACCTTCCCTGCATTGATACATGAGGCCCTGGTTGGACACATGTCCTCCTCCTTTCCCTACAGATGGTGACCCTGGAGAAAGACTTGAGTTGGGCCCGAAGGCCCCGGGGCCAGTGTCCATCAGCCAGGTGCTCAGCTCCCAGTGCACCGAAACTCCGACCCTTCCTGGTTTCCTGGTCTCTTGCACTGGGCTGTGGTGAGCACAACCAGGTCCCGCTGGATGCATGTGTGGGGAGGGGGGTGCCCTGAGTTGGGTTGGTGATGAGAACCTTATATTCTTCTGAAGAGAGGTGATAACTTAAAAATCATGCTCAACAGGATTATGCTGAGGCCCAGCCTAGGTGAGAATGTTGGAAGAGGGCGATAGGATTCTGAGGTCCTTGGCAGAGCCACACTCTATTTTGGGCTGGAGACCTGGAGTCCCTGAAAGGGCATCTGGTAGGAGCCCAACCCTGCCTCTGCAATCCTGCATGAAGGTCCCCAGGCTCCCTGTCCAGGCTTGGTGCTGGTGCTCTGGTACCCCAGAGACGGAACAGGTTGGTGACTCTTTCCCGAGCCCCCGTTCTCCCTTTGTGTCTTTCAGTGAGCTTTTCCACCCAGGTGGGTACCCTGGCATTGACTAGCCTCCTTGGTTGGCTATGACCTGGCTGGTGGCCCGGGTCTGTGCCCAGTGGTCCCAGGGCAGCCCTGGCGTCATATGGGGGAGGTGTTTTGGGCAGTGGAGGTGCTCTCCAGGCCTGAAATACAGCACAATCTGGGCATTTTGCCTGAGCCCAGTGACCTGCCTGCCTTGTCCTTCCTGGGTTTGGTGGCATGGAGGGCCAAGGGTGCCCTGTGTCAGTGATGAGTCAGTATTTTGCATGGATCTCATCACGTGTCCATGGAGGGAAAGCAAGCATGAGCTGGTACCCAACACCCCCTTTTCCGTTTTTTTTTTTTTTTTTTTTTGAGACGGAGTCTCGCTCTGTCGCCCAGGCTGGAGTGCAGTGGCGCGATCTCGGCTCACTGCAAGCTCCGCCTCCTGGGTTTACGCCATTCTCCTGCCTCAGCCTCCTGAGTAGCTGGGACTACAGGCGCCCGCCACCGCGCCCGGCTAATTTTTTGTATTTTTAGTAGAGACGGGGTTTCACCGTGGTCTCGATCTCCTGACCTTGTGATCCGCCCGCCTCGGCCTCCCAAAGTGCTGGGATTACAGGCGTGAGCCACCGCGTCCAGCCCAACACCCCCTTTTCCACATGGAAGGTGGTCACATGTCCTCCACCTGTGCCCCCAGATGATGAGAATTGAGGAAGACTTCCATTGGGCCTGCTTTTCCTGAGCTAGTGTCCGTCACCCAGGTGCTCAACCCTTGGTGCACTGAAGCTCCAGCTCTTCCTGGCGCCCTGGTCTCCTGCACTGAGCTGTGGTGAGCACATCCGGGTTCCACTGGATGTTTGTGCAGGGAGGGGGTTCTCTGGGTTGGGTCAATGATGAGAACCTTATATTGTCCTGAAGAAAGGTGATGACTTAAAAATCATGCTCAATAGGATTACGCTGAGGCCCAGCCTAGGGGAGAATTTTGGAAGAAGATGCTGGGATCCCGAGATTTCCAGCAGGGCCACTATATTTTGGTTTGGATGGAGGCCCTGAAGGGCATCTGGAGGTGGCCCAACTCTTTCTCTGTGCTCCTCCATGAGGCAGCCCAGGCTCCCTGTGCGGGCTTGGTGTTGGCCTTCCTGTTCCCCAGTGACGGAACACATCAGTATCTCCTCCCTGAGCCCCCGTTCTCCCCTTGTTTCTTTCAGTGAGCTCTTCTGCCAAGGGGGGGCCTCCTGGCATTGACCAACATAGGTGAGTGGATCCTGCTGGCGTCATGGGCCATGAGCCAGGCCGCATGGGTTCGCCAGGGGTCAGACTTCAGACCCTGAGGGTTTCCTCAGGGAACTGACCTGAATTCCCACCAGGGAGGGATGGTTTCTCCAGGAGGTCAGCTTATCCGAGGAATCTTACCCAAGGAGGATGCCTTCCCTGAAGCCCTGCAGGGGTGACGATGGTCCATATGGCAAAGGGTTCCTTCAGCCCCACACAGGACATCACCCAGTTGAGACTTGATGTGCGGGTCAGGCCTTGAGGACTGCCCAGGCCACATGATGGGGGCCACAAGGGCTCTGGGGTGCCATGGCTGTCATGCAGGAGCTCTCAGTCCCCAGACTTGTTTCGTGGGGGTGGTGATGGGATCGGGTTGTGGAGGTTCAAGGATCTCATCCTACCTGTGACCCTGAATGGGGCCAACACTGTTGAGCAACAGGCCATCCCAGTGGCACGTATTGAGCCTGGTGGGGTGTGGTACAGTTTCAATGCAGTTGAGCTAATGCTGAGATCTGTATGACGCTTGGTGCTGCTGCTGGCCAGCCCTGGGACCCATGGGCTTTGCGCTAAGTGGGTAGCCCACATCCCACTGGTGGTAACCCATTCTCCGAGTTTGAGTAATGGTTAACAGTGGCATTCTGAGGTGGGAAGGCCCACTGTCTAGGGTCCTATACTGGGAATTTGCCGCCCCGGCTTCTTCTGAGACATGTGGTCACCTCCAGGGTCGTGGGGTCTTAGGCCCAAGGAAAGGAAAAGATACCATGTGGCCCTTGATTGGCCAGGTGTGGCCCAGGTCTGTTGGGGAGGTGTGTGGGATGTGGATGGGGTCCCACCAGTGAAAGCATGTGGCCCAGGTCCCCAGGCTGTGATTTTCAGTGCACATTTGGACAGGGTGCCTCAGCATGTGCCCACCACGTCCAGGGGCAGGCTATGTGACTGCCAGGTTTGCAATGGTGCGTAGCTTACGAGCTACCCTCCTTGGTGGGCCAGGAGCTGGTTGGTGGCTGTGGCCCATGCCCAGTGGTCACAGGGCAGGCAGACTGTCCTGTTTTTTCAGGGCAGGGGAGGGCCAAGGGTGCCCTGCATCCGTGATGGGTCCGTGTTCCACATGGAACCCATTACATGGGTATCTCTTACCCCTTCTCCATATGGAGATGTGAGGACCTATTTGGACACATATCCTCCTCCTGTACTCCCAGATGGTGAGCCCGGAGGAAGACTTGCATTGGGCCCAATGACCCTGGTCCAGTGTCTGTCGGACAGGTTCCCAGCCCCCGGTGCAGTGAAGCTCAGGCCTTTCCTGGTGCCCTGGTCTCCTGCACTGAGCTGTGGTGAGCATATGCTGGTCCTGCTGGATGCATGTGCAGGGAGTGGGGTGCCTTGGGTTGGGTCAATGATGAGAATCTTATATTGTTCTGAAGAAAGGTGATGACTTAAAAATCATGCTCAATAGGATTACGCTGAGGCCCAGCCTAGGTGAGAATTTTGGAAGAGGACACTGGGATCCCGAAGTCCCTTGCAGGGACCCTGTATTTTGGGCTGGAGACCTCAAGGCTCTGATGGGCATCTGGAGGTGGCCCAATCTGTCTCTGTGCTCCTCTGTGAGACAGCCCAGGCTCCTTTTGTGGGCTTGGTGTTGGTGCTCTAGTTCCCTGGGCCAGGGAACGTTGGTGGCTCTTTACTGAGCTCCGGTTCTCCCTGTGTCTTTCAGTGAGCTCTTCTGCCCAGGTGGGCTCCCTGGCATTGACGGGCATAGGTGAGTGGATCCTGCTGGGGTCATGGGCCATGAACCAGGCCACGTGGGGTCACCAAGGGTCCCTCTTCTGGCCACGAGGGTTTTCTCAGGGAATGGACCTGTATTACCACTGGGGAGGCGTAGGTTCTCCAGGAGGGCTGCTATTTTGGGAATTGGATCCAAGGGGGACACCTTCCCTGAAGCCCTGCAGGCGTGATGGTGGTCCAGGCGGGAAAGAGTTTCTTCCACCCTGCACAGGGCAGCTCATAGCTGAGAGTTGATGCTCGGGTCAGGCCTCGAGGATTTCCCAGGCCACATGAAGGGGACAGAGGAGCTCTGGGTACCATGGGGGTCACATAGGAGCTCTCAGTATTTGGTGTGTCATGCACAAATGGGCCTCTTGGATTGGGTCATGGAGATTAAAGGATCGTGCACCACCATGGCCCTGAATAGGACCGTCCCTGTTGAGCAATGGACCATCCTAGTGGGTCTCCTGGAGCTTGGTGGAGGTGGGAGGCGGCATTGTTTCCCTGGGTTTGGGTCAAGGCAGAGCTCTGGCCAGCACCTGGTGGCTTCTGCAGGTCAGTCTTGGGACTCATGGGCATTGGGCCAAGGGGGAACCCGCATGCCATTGGTGGTCACCCTTTTTCCAGTGTCAAGTGTCTGGAAAGGTAGCCTCCTGAGGTGGGAAGGCCTGCTGTCGAGGGACGTTTCCTAGGAATTTGTTGCTCAAGCTTCTCCTAAGCTTTGGGGTCATATCCAGGGTGGCAGGGTCTTGGGCCCAAGCAAAGCAGAGGGCACCATGTGGCTCCTGATTGGCCATGTGGCTGTCTCTATGTGTGGGAGTTTGCAGAGTATGGATGGGGACCTACCAGAGGAAGCACATGGTCCTGCAGCACCAGGCTGTGATTTCTGTTGCACACTCGGAGAGGGTGCCTGGATGCGTGCCCTTCATGCCCGGCAGCAGGCTATGCAACTACCAGGTTTGCAGCAGGGTGTGACATCCGAGCCAGCCTCCTTGGTTGGCCGTGACCTGGCTGGTGGCCTGGGTCTGTGCCCAACAGTCCCAGTGCAGCCCTGGGGTCATGCAGGGGAGCCGTTTGGGACAATGGAGGTGCTCTCAGGGCCTGCAGTGTCATGCAGCCTGGGTGTTTGCTGAAACCCAGTGACCTACCTGCCCTGTCCTCTCTGGGTTGGGTGGAAGGGAGGGTCAACAGTGCACCACGTACTTAAGGAGTCAGTATTTCACATTGAACTCACCACATGTGTCCATGGAGGGCGAGCAAGGGTGAGCTGGCACCCCCAACCCCCTTTCTGACGTGGAGGTCAGTTTTGACACGTCTTCATCCTGTCTCCCCAGATGGTGACCCTGGAGGAAAACTTGTGTTGGGCCCGCTATCCCTGGGCCAATGTCGGTCAGCCAGGCACCCAGCCCCTAGTGCACTGAAGCTCAGGACCTTCCTGGAGCCTTTGGCTCCTGCACTGAGCTGTGGTGAGCCCATCTGGGTCCTGCAGGATACATGCGCTGGGGGCAGGAGGGTGCCCTGGGTTGGGTCAGTGATGAGAACCTTATATTATTCTGAAGAGAGATGATGACTTAAAAATCATGCTCAATAGGATTACGCTGAGGCCCAGCCTAGGTGAGAATTTTGGAAGAGGACACTGGGATTCTGAGGTCCCTGACAGAGCAAATGTATTTTGGGATGGAGACCTTGAGGCCCTGAAGGGCATCTGGTGGACCCAACCCTGTCTCTGCACTCCTCTGTGAGGCAGCCCAGGCTCCCTGTGCTGGCTTGGTATCTGGGCTCTGGGTCTCTGGTGACAGGGCATGTTGGAGGCTCCTTCCTGAGCCCCCACTCTCCCCTGTGTCTTTCAGTGAGCTCCTCCGTCCAAGTGGTCCCCCCTGGCCTTGAGCAGCATAGGTGAGGACATCCTGTTTTGGTCATGGGCCATGAATGATGCAGCATGGGGTCCATGACGTTCAGCCTTCGGGCCCCTAGGGTTTTCTCAGGCTGCCAACCTACTCCCCACCAGGGAGGGATGGTTTCTCCAGGAGAGCTGCTTCCTTTCGAATCTGACCCAAGGAGCACATCTTTCCTGAAACCCTGCAGGGGTGACAGTGGTCCAGGCAGGAAGGAGTTCCTTCAACCCAATGTAGGGCAGCTCCCAGCTGAAACTCGGTGGCCTGGTCAGGCCTGGAGTACTGCCCAGGGCACATGGGGAGAGGGGCAGGAACAGGGGATGTAGTGTGCCCTGGAAGTCACACTGGAGTTCTCCTTCCCTGGAGAGGGGTGAGTGACTGGGCCCACATGGTCAGGCTGTGGAGATTCAAGGAATGTTCCACACCCATGGTCTTGAATGGGACCCAACCCTATTGAGCAATGGGCCATCTTAGTGGCACCTCCTTGAGCCTGGTGGGGAATGGCACTGTTTCAATGAGGTTGGGTCAAGGCTGAGCTCTGGCTGGCACCTGGTGGTGCTGCAGGGCCTGGGATTTGTGGGCTTTGGGCCAAGGGAGCAGCTCTGATCCTGCTGGGGACAAGCCTTCCTTGAGGTCCAGTGGTGAAAAGGGTGTCCTCGTGAGGTGGTAAGACCTGCTGTTGAGTGACCTGTTCTGGGAATTTGCTGCCCAGGCTGCTTCTGAGTCTTGGGGGTCACCTCAGTGTAGCAGGGTCTTGAGCCCAAGGAAAGGAGAATACACCGTGTGGTTCCTGATGGGCTGAGTGTGACCTGGCTCTGTGTGTCAGAGTTGGGCAGGACATGGATGGGGACCCACCGTAGAAAACATGTGACCCTGGAGGCCCCTAGGCTTGGAGAGGGCACCACGGCCAGTGCCCACCACGCCTAGGTGCAGGACTGCCAGGTCTGCAGTGGCTCTTGGCCTCTGGGCCAACATACTTGGTTGGCCAGAAGCTGGTTGGTGGCCCTGTCCTCTGCCCCGTGTCCCCGGTGTGGCCCTGGGGTTGTGTGTGGGAACAGGCCCGGGCAGTGGAGGTGCTCTTGGGGCCTGCAGTAGGGTGCAACCCAGACATTTTGCCTGAGCCAAGTGACATGCTTGCCCTGTCTTTCCAGGGTTTGGTGGCAGGGAGGGCCAAGGGTACCCAGTGTCCGTGTGGGTCAGTGTTCAGCATGGATCCCATCACATGAGTATCCCTTAGCCCTTTCTCCACATTGATGTGTGAGGCCCTGGTTAGACACATTTCCTCCTCCTGTCCCTCCAGATGGTGAGCCTGGAGGAAGACTTGTGTTGGCCCACAGGCCCCAGGCCAATGTCAGCCAGGTGCTCATCCCCTGGTGTGCTGAAACTCTGGCCCTCCGTGGCACCCTGGTCTCCTGCACTGAGCTGTGGTGAGCATATCCTGGTCCTGCTGAATGCAAGTGTGGGGAGGGATTGTCCTAGGTTGGGTCAATGATGAGAACCTTATAATGTTCTGAAGAGAGGTGATGACTTAAAAATCATGCTCAATAGGATTACGCTGAGGCCCAGCCTAGGTGAGAATTTTGGAAGAGGACACTGGGATCCTGAAGCCCCCTGCAGGGCTCCTGTGTTTTGGGCTGGGGACCTGGAGGCCCTGAAGGGCATCTGGTGGACCCAACTGTATCTCTGTGCTCCTCCATGAGGCAGCCTAGCCTCCCTGTACTGGCTTGGTATCTAGGCTCCGGGTCTCCAGGGACGGGACACGTTGGAGAGTCCTTCCTGAGCCCTCGTTCTCCCTTTGTGTCTTTCAGTGAGCTTTTCCACCCAGGTGGGCCCCCTGGTATTGACCGACATAGGTGAGTGCATCCTGCTGGGGTCATGGGCTATTAGATAGTCAGTGTAGGGTCACTGAGGTTCAGCTTTTGGGCCACAAGGGTTTTCGCAGGCAACCGACCTGAACTCCCACCTGGGAGAGGTGGGTTCTCCAGGAGGGCAGCTTTTTTAGGAATCAGACCCAAGGAGGATGCCTTCCCTGAAGCCCTACAGGGGTGATGGTGGTCCAGGCGGGAAAGGGTTCCTTCTGCCCAACTCAGGGCCCAACGCAGGGCAGCGCCTCCTTGAGAATTGGTGCTCTGGTAATGCCTGGAGGACTGCCCAGGCCACGTGAAGGAGGTCAGAGGGGCTACAGGGAACCATGGGGGTAACAGGGGAGCTCTTGGCCCCCCGAGTGTGTGAATGGGCCCGTTGAGTTGGGTTGCGGAGATTCAAGGATCGCACCTGACCCATGGCCCTGAATGACCATCCCTGTTGAGCAGTGGGTCATCCCAGTGGGTCTCCTGGAGCCTGGTGGGGGTCGGCATTGTTTTCCTGGGGTTGGGTCAAGGTGGAGCTCTGGCTGGTGCCTGGTGGTGCTGCAGGTCAGCCCTGGGACTCGTGGGCTTTGGGCCAAGAGGCAGCCCACATCCCACTGGGGGTCACCCTTTCTCTGAGGTTGAGTTTCATGAAGGGTGGCCTCCTGAGGTGGGAAGGCCCACTGTTGAGGCACCTAGACTGGGAATTGTTCCTCAGGCTGCTTAGGAGCCATGGTGTCACCTCCAAGGTGGTGGGATCTTGGGACTAAGCAAAGGAGGGGGCACCATGTGGCTCCCAATTGGCCATGTGTGGCTGGCTGTGTGTCTGGGAGGTGTGTGGAGTATGGATGGGGCCCCCCAGAGAAAGCAAGTGGCCCTGCAGTCCTAGGAGGTGATTTCTGGTGTAGGCTTGGAGAGGGTGCCTATATGCGCGCCCACCATACCTAGGAGCAGGCTATGCCACTGCAGAGTCTGCAGTGACACCTGGCATATGGGCCAGCCTCCTTGGTTGGCTGTGACTTGGCTGGTGGCCTGTGCTTGTGCCCAGTGGTCAGGGCAGCTCTGAGTTAATGCAGGGGAGCCATTTTGGGCAGTGGAGGTGCCCTCGGGTCCTACAGTATGGCACAGCCTGGGTGTTTTGCTCAAGCCCAGTGACCTGCCTACCTTATCCTTCCCGGGTTCGGTGGCAGGGAGAGCCAAGGGTGCCCTGCATTGGGGACGAGTCAGTATTTTGCATGAATCTCATCACATGTGTCCATGGAGGACAAGCAAGCATGAGCTGGCACCAGCCGCCCCCTTCTCTGCATGGAGGGTGGTTATGTGTTTCCCTAGATGATGAGACTGGAGGAAGACTTCCGTTGGGCCCACTTTTCCTGGGCTAGTGTCCATCAGCCAGGTGCTTAGCCCCAGTGCCTTGAAACTCCGGCCCTTCCTGGCACGTGGTCTCCTGCACTGAGCTGTGGTGAGTACATCCGGGTTCCACTGGATGTTTGTGCGGGTAGGGGTTTTCTGTGTTGGGTCAATGATGAGAACCTTAAATTGTCCTGAAGAGAGGTGATGACTTAAAAATCATGCTCAATAGGATTACGCTGAGGCCCAGCCTAGGTGAGAATTTTGGAAGAGGATTATGAGATTCAGGCCACTGTATTTTGGGCTGGAGACCTGGAGGCTCTGAAGGGCATCTGGAGGTGGCCCAACCTATCTCTGTGCTCCTCCATGAGGCAGCTCAGGGTCCCCTTGTGGGGTTGGTGGTGTTCTGGTTCCCTGGTGTGGGGAATGTTGGTGGCTCCTTCCTGAGCCCCCATTCTCGCCTTGTGTCTTTCAGTGAGCTCTTCCACCCAGGAGGGCCCCTTGGCATTGACTGGCATAGGTGAGTGGATCCTGCTGGGATCATTGGTCAGGAGCCATACCGTGTGGGGTCCCCGAGGTTCAGCCTTTGGGCCACAAGGGTTTTCTCAGGGAGCAGACCTGAATTTCCACCTGGGAGGGAAAGGTTCTCTTGGAGGATGGCTTTTTTGGGAATCTAACCCAAGGAAGACTCCTTCTTTGAAGCCCTACAGGGGTGATGGTGGTCCAGGCAGGAAAGGGTTCCTTCTGCCCAACGCAGGACAGCGCCCAGTTGAGACTTGGTACTCCAGTAAGGTCTCAGGACTGCCCAGGCCACATGAAGGAGGCCAGAGGGGCTATGGGCTGCCACTGGGGTAATAGGGGATCTCTTGGTCCCTGGAGTGTGGTGTGTGAATGGGGTTGGGTTGCGGAGATTCAAGGATCGTGCCCCACCCATGACCCTGAATGCGACCATCCCTGTTGAGCAATGGGGCATCCTAGTGGATCTCCTGGAGCCTGGTGTGGGGTGGCGTTATTTCCCTGGGGTTGGGTCAAGGTGGAGCTCTGGGTGGTACCTGGTTGTACTGCAGGTCAGCCTTGGGACTTGTGGGCTTTGGGCCAAGGGACAACTGCATCCTGCTGGGCATCACCCTATCTCCGAGGTCAAATGTCCTTGAGGGTGGCTTCCTGAAGTGGGAAGCCCCATTGTCGAGGAACCTGCCCCAGGATTTTGTTGCTCAGGCTTCTTCTGAGCCATGGCATCGCCTCCAGGGTGACAGAGTCTTGGGCCCAAGCAAAGGAGAGGGCACTATGTCGCTCTGAGTTGGCCAAGTGTAGCCTAGCTCTGTGGTGGGAGGTGTGAAGAGCATGGATGGTGACCCACCAGAGAAAGCACGTGGCCCTGCAGCCCCAAGCTGCGATTTCTGGTGCATGCTTGTAGAGGACGTCTTGATGTGAGCCCACCACACCCAGGGGCAGACTGCATGACTGCCAGGACTGCAGTGGCACGTGGCATCTGGGCCAGCCTTCTTTGTTGGCCATGACCTGGCTAATGGCCCTGGCCCGTGCCCTGGGGTCATGCAGGGGAGCCCTCTTGGAGGGTGGAGGTGCTCTCAGGGCCTGCAGTATAGCGCAGGCTGGGCATTTGGCCCGAGCCCAGTGACCTGCCTGCCTTGTCCTTCCCAGGTTTGGTGGCAGGGAAGGACAAGGGTGCCCCATGTTGGTGACAAGTCCGTTTTTCACATGGATCTCATCACATGCGTCCATGGAGGATGAGCAACCGTGAACTGACCCCCGCTCCCTCCTTACCACATGGAGGTCATTTTGGACTCATGTCCTCCACCTCTGTCCCAGATGGTGAGACCGGAGGAAGGCTTGCATTGGACCTGCTGTTCCTGGGCCAGTGGCCATTAGCCCGGTGCCCAGTCCCTGATGCTCTGAAGCTCAGGTCCTTCATGGTGCACTGGTCTCCTGCACTGAGCTGTGGTGAGCACATCCGGGTCCCGCTGGAATCATGTGTGAGGTGGGTTGGTCCCCTGGGTTGGTCCCCTGGGTTGGGTCCATGATGAGAACTTTAAATTGTCCTGAAGAGAGATGATGACTTAAAAATCATGCTCAATAGGATTACGCTGAGGCCCAGCCTAGGTGAGAATTTTGGAGGAGGACACTGGGATCCTGAGATCCCTGGCAGGGCCACTATATTTTGGGCTGGAGAACTCGAGGCCCTGAAGGGCAACTTGGGAGGCCCCAATGTATCCCTGCACCCCTCTGTAAGGCAGCCCAGTTTAGCTGTGTGAGCTTGGTGTCTGGTTCCCTGGGGATGGGGCATATTGGGGGCTACTTCTTGAGCCGCCATTCTCCCCCATGTCTTTCAGTGAGCTCTTCTGTCCAGGTGGGGCCATGGCCTTAAGCGGCATAGGTGAGTGTATCCTATTGGGGTCATGGTCCCTGAATGAGGCAGCATGGGGCCATTGAGGGTCAGCCTTAGGGCCACTAGGGTTTTCTCAGGGTGCCACCAGAGAGGGAACTTTTCTCCAGTAGCATCGCTTCCTTGGGAATCTGACCCTAGCAGCACGCATTTCCTAAAGCCTTGCAGAGGTGATGGAGGTCCAGGCAGAAAGAGTTCCTTCAGCCCAACACAGAGCACCTCCCAGCTGAAACTCGGTAGACTGGTCAGGCCTCGAGGACTGCCCAGGCCACATGAGGGGAGCAATACGGGCTCTGGGGCAGCCTGGGAGTCAAGCTGGAGTTCTTCCTCCCTGGACAGTGGTGGTGATTGGGCCCATGTAGACAGGCCCCAGATATTCAGGACTGCACCCCATCTGTGGCCCTGAGTGGGACCAACCCTGTTGAGTAATGGGCCATCTTAGTGGTACCTCCTTGAGCCTGGTAGGGGGAGGCACTGTTTCAATGCAGTTGTGTCAAGGCTGAGCTCTGGCTGGTGCCTGGTGGTGCTGCAGGCAGCCCTGGAGGTTGTGGTCTTTGGGCCAAGGGGGCAGCTCACATCCCGCTGGGGTCACCCCTTCCTTGAGATTCAATAGCATGAAGGGTGTCCTCCTGAGGTGGGAAGTCCTGCTGTCCAGGGACCTGTTCTGGGAATTTGCCCCACAGGCTACTTCTGAGCCATGGGGTCACCTCCAGGGTGGAAGGGTCTTGATCCCAAGGAAAGGAGAGGACACCACGTGGTTTCTGATTGGCCCAGTGTGGCCTGGCTCTGTGTGTGGAAGGTGTAGGGCATGATGAAGACCCACCAGAGAAAGCACGTGGGCCTGGAGGCCTCCAGGCTTTGATTTCTGGTGTGTGCTTGGAGAGGGCACCAGGGTGAGTACCCACCATGCAGGCTCTGTGACTGCCAGGTCTGCATTGGCTCCTGGTGTCAGGGTCAGACTCCTTGGTTGGCCATGAGCAGGTTGGTTGCTCTGACCCATGCCCCAGGGTCCCAGTGCGGCCCTGGGGTTGTTCGGGGGAGCCGGCCCGAGCAGTGGAGTTGCTCTTGGGGCCTGCAGTAGGGCACTGCCCAGGGGTCTTGCCCCAGCACAGTGACCCATATTCCCTGTCTTTCCAGGGTTTGGTGACCAGGAGGGTCAATGGTGCCCCGTTTCCATGATGGGTCAGTGTTCTGCGTGGATTCCATCACATGGGCATCCCCTACCCACCTTCCCCACACTGATACGTGAGGCCCTGGTTGGACACATGTCCTTCTGCTGTCACCCCAGATGGTGAGCCTGGAAGAAGAGTTGTGTTGGGCCCCCACAGGCCCCAGGCCAGTGTCCTTCAGCCTGGTGCTCATCCCTCCAGTGCATTGAAGCTCAGATCCTCCCCGGCACGCTGGTCTCCTGCACTGAGCTGTGGTGAGCACATCCAGGTTCTGCTGGATGCATGCGTGGGGAGGGGCTTGCCCTTGGTTGGGTCAATGATGAGAACCTTATATTGTCTGAAGAGAGGTGATGACTTAAAAATCATGCTCAATAGGATTACACTGAGGCCCAACCTAGGTGAGAATGTTGGAAGAGGATACTGGGATCCCGAGATCTCCAACAGGTCCACTGTATTTTTGGCTGGAGACCTGGAGGTCCTGAAGGGCATCTGGAAGGAGGCCCAACGCTGTCTCTGTACTCTTCCTTGAGGCAACCCAGGCTACCTCTGCAGGCTTGGTGTTGGTGCTGCAGTTCCCTGGGGCCAGGGAACATTGGTGGCTCCTTCCTGAGCCCCCATTCCTCCCTTGTGTCTTTCAGTGAGCTTTTCCTCCCAGGCGGGCCCCCTGGAATTGACTGGCATAGGTAAGTGAATCCTGCTGGGGTCATGGGCCATTAGCCAGGCCGTGTGGGGTAGCCGAGGTTCAGCCTTTGGGCCACAAGGGTTTTCTCAGGCAGCCGACCTGAATTCCCACCTGAGAGAGATGGGTTCTCCAGGAGGGTGGCTTTTTTGGGAATTAGACCCAAGGAGGATACCCGAAGCACTGCAGGGGTGACGGTGGTCCAGGCAGGAAAGGGTTCTGTCAGCCCCAGGCAAGGCAGCTTCTAGCTGAGACTCGGTGCTTGGGTCAGTTCTCAAGGACTGCCTGAACACGAGGGGGTCCAGAGGGGCTCTGGGTGCCACGGGGGTCACATGGGAGCTCTCAGTCCCCAGAGTGTGGTGTGTGAATGGACCGTTAGGGTTGGGTATTGGGCATAAAAGGGTCGTGCCCCACCCATTTCCTGGAATGTGACCATCCCTATTGAGCCATGGGCCATCCCAGTAGGTCTCCTGGAGCCTGGTGGGAGGCAGCATTGTTTTCCTGGGGTTGGGTCAAGGCGGAGCTCTGGCCCGTATGTAGTTGTGCTGCAGGTCAGCCCTGGGACTTGTGGGCTTTGGGTTAAGGGGCAGCCCGCATCCTGCTGTGGATCACCCTATCTCTGACATCAAGTGTCAGGAAGGGTGGCCCCCTGAGATGGGAAAGTCAGCTGTCGAGGGACCTGTTCCGGGATTTTGTTGCTCAGGCTGCTTGGAATCCATTGTGTCACCTCCAGGGTGGTGGAATTTTGGGCCCAAGCAATGGAGAGGGCACCACATGACTCCCGATTGTTCAAGTGTGGCTGACTCTGTGTGTGGGAGACATGCAGAGTACGGATGGTGACCCACCAAAGAAAGCATGTGGCTCAGGCTGTGATTTCCAGTGCTTCATTGGAAAGGGTGCCTGTACGCACGCCCCCCATGCCCACGGGTAGACTATGTGACTGCCAGGTCTGCAGTGGTGCATGGCATCTGGGCCAGCCTTCTTGGTTGGCCATGACCTGGCTAATGGCTCTGGCCCGTGCCCAGTGATCCCAGGGATGCCCTGGGGTCATGCAGCAGAGCCCTCTTGGACAGTGGAGGTGCTCTCAAAGCCTGCAGTATGGCACAGCCTGGGCGTTTAGCCTGAGCCCAGTGACCTACCTGCCCTGTCCTTCCAGGGTTCGGTGGCACACAGGGCCAAGGGTGTCTGTGTCAGTGACAAGCACGTGGATCTCATCACATGCATCCATGGAGGATGAGCAAGTATGAGCTGGCATGACCTACCTCCTTCCCCTCATGGAGGTCATTTTGGACACATGTCCTCCAGCTCTCTCCCAGATGGTGAAACCGGAGGAAAACTTGCATTGGGCCTCCTGTTCCTGGGCAGGTGTCCATCAGTCTGTTGCCCAGCCCCATGATGTGCTGAAGCTCAGGTCCTTCCTGGTGCCCTGGTCTCCTGCACTGAACTGTGGTGAGCACATCCGGGTTCTGCTGGAATCATGTGTGAGGTGATTGGTCCTCTGGGTTGGGTCGATGATGAGAACCTTACATTGTCCTGAAGAGAGGTGATGACTTAAAAATCATGCTCAATAGGATTACGCTGAGGCCCAACCTAGGTGAGAATTTTGGAAGAGGATGCTGGGATCCCAAGATCCCCAGCAGGGCCACTATATTTTGGGATGTAGAACTTGAGGTCCTGAAGGTCATCTCAGGGGTGCCCAGCCCTGTCTCTGTGCCCCTCTGGGAGGCAGCCCAGGCTCCCTGTGTGGGCTTGGTGTCTGGACTCAGGTTGCCCGGGGATGGGGCATGTTGTCGGCTCCTTCCTGATCACGTGTTCTCCCCCTTGTCTTTCAGTGAGCTCTTCTGCCCAGATGGGGCCCATGGCCTTAAGTGGCATAGGTATGTATATCCTGTTGGGGTCGTGGGCCATGAATGAGGAAGCCAGGGCCATTGAGGGTCAGCCTTCAGGCCACTAGGGTTTTCTCCGGGTGCCACTGGGGAGGGAACATTTCTCCAGTAGGGTCACTTTCTTAGAAATCTGACCCTAGGAGCATACATTTCCTGAAGCCCTGCAGGTTGATGGTGGTCCAGGCAGAAAGGGTTCCTTCAGCCCAACATAGAGCAGCTCCCAGCTGAAACTCAGTGGGCTGGTCAGGGCTGGAGGACTGCCCAGGCCACATGAGGGGGGCAACAGGGGCTCTAGGTCAGTCTGGGAGTTACACCGGAGTTCTCCCTGCCTGGACAGTAGTGGGTGATTGGGCCCACGCAGACAGGCCCCGCAGATTCAGGACTGCCCCCATCCATGACCCTGAATGGGACCGACCCTGTTGAGTAATGGGCCATCTTAGTGGTACCTCCTTGAGCCTGGTAGGGGGAGGCACTGTTTCAATGCAGTTGGATCAAGGCTGAGCTCTGGCTGGTGCCTGGTGGTGCTGCAGGCAGCCCTGGAGGTTGTGGTCTTTGGGCCAAGGGGGCAGCTCACATCCCGCTGGGGTCACCCCTTCCTTGAGATTCAGTGGCGAGAAGGGTGTCCTCCTGAGGTGGGAAGTCCTGCTGTCCAGGGACCTGTTCTGGGAATTTACTCCACAGGCTACTTCTGAGCCACGGGGTCACCTCCAGGGTGGAAGGGTCTTGATCCCAAGGAAAGGAGAGGACACCACGTGGTTTCTGATTAGCCCAGTGTGACCTGGCTCTGTGTGTGGAAGGTGTAGGGCATGATGAAGACCCACCAGAGAAAGCACGTGGGCCCGGAGGCCTCCAGGCTTTGATTTCAGGTGTGTGCTTGGAGAGGGCACCAGGGTGGGTACCCACCATGCCCAGGGCAGGCTCTGTGACTGCCAGGTCTGCATTGGCTCCTGGTGTCAGTGCCAGACTCCTTGGTTGACCCCGAGCAAGTTGGTGGCCCCAATCCATGCTCTATGGTCCCAGTGCGGCCCTACGGTTGTTCGGAGGAAGCGGTCAGAGCAGTGGAGGTGCTGTTGGGGCCTGCAGTAAAGCACAGCCCAGGCATCTTGCCCCAGCACAGTGACCTGCATTCCCTGTCTTTCCAGGGCTTGGTGGTCGGGAGGGCCAATGTTACCCTGTGTCCATGATGGGTCAGTATTCTACATGGATTCCATCACATGGGCATCCCCTACCCAACTACCCACAATGATATGCGAGGCTCTGGGTGGACATGTGTCCTTCTGCTGTCACCCCAGATGATGAGCCTGGAAGAAGACTTCTGTTGGGCCTCAACAGGCCTCAGGCCAGTGTCCATCAGCCTGGTGTTCATCCCCTGGTGTGTTGAAGCTCAGACCCTCCCTGGCACCCTGGTCTCCTGCACTGAGCTGTGGTGAGCACATCCAGGTTCTGCTGGATGCATGTGTGAGGTGATTGGTCCTCTGGGTTGGGTCAATGATGAGAACCTTATATTGTCTGAAGAGAGGTGATGACTTAAAAATCATGCTCAATAGGATTACGCTGAGGCCCAACCTAGGTGAGAATGTTGGAAGTGGACACTGGGATCCCGAGATCTCCAACAGGTCCACTGTATTTTTGGCTGGAGACCTGGAGGTCCTGAAGGGCATCTGGAAGGAGGCCCAACGCTGTCTCTGTGCTCTTCCTTGAGGCAACCCAGGCTACCTCTGCAGGCTTGGTGTTGGTGCTGCAGTTCCCTGGGGCCAGGGAACATTGGTGGCTCCTTCCTGAGCCCCCATTCCTCCCTTGTGTCTTTCAGTGAGCTTTTCCTCCCCCCTGGAATTGACTGGCATAGGTGAGTGAATCCTGCGGGGGTCATGGGCCATTAGCCAGGCCGTGTGGGGTCGCTGAGGTTCAGCCTTTGAGCCAGAAGGGTTTTCTCAGGCAGCCGACCTGAATTCCCACCTGGAGAGATGGGTTCTCCAGGAGGGTGGCTTTTTGGGGAATTAGACCCAAGGAGGATACCCGAAGCCCTGCAGGGGTAACGGTTGTCCAGGCAGGAAAGGGTTCTGTCAGTCCCAGGCAAGGCAGCTTCTAGCTGAGACTCGGTGCTTGGGTCAGTTCTCAAGGACTGCCTGAACACGAGGGGGTCCAGAGGGGCTCTGGGTGCCACGGGGGTCGCATGTGAGCTCTCAGTCCCCAGAGTGTGGTGTGTGAATGGACCGTTAGGGTTGGGTATTGGGCATAAAAGGGTCGTGCCCCACCCATTTCCTGGAATGTGACCATCCCTATTGAGCCATGGGCCATCCCAGTAGGTCTCCTGGAGCCTGGTGGGAGGCAGCATTGTTTTCCTGGGGTTGGGTCAAGGCGGAGCTCTGGCCCGTATGTAGTTGTGCTGCAGGTCAGCCCTGGGACTTGTGGGCTTTGGGTTAAGGGGCAGCCCGCATCCTGCTGTGGATCACCCTATCTCTGACATCAAGTGTCAGGAAGGGTGGCCCCCTGAGATGGGAAAGTCAGCTGTTGAGGGACCTGTTCCGGGATTTTGTTGCTCAGGCTGCTTGGAATCCATTGTGTCACCTCCAGGGTGGTGGAATTTTGGGCCCAAGCAATGGAGAGGGCACCACATGACTCCCGATTGTTCAAGTGTGGCTGACTCTGTGTGTGGGAGACATGCAGAGTACGGATGGTGACCCACCAAAGCAAGCATGTGGCTCAGGCTGTGATTTCCAGTGCTTCATTGGAAAGGGTGCCTGTACGCACGCCCCCCATGCCCACGGGTAGACTATGTGACTGCCAGGTCTGCAGTGGTGCATGGCATCTGGGCCAGCCTTCTTGGTTGGCCATGACCTGGCTAATGGCCCTGGCCCGTGCCCAGTGATCCCAGGGATGCCCTGGGGTCATGCAGCAGAGCCCTCTTGGACAGTGGAGGTGCTCTCAAAGCCTGCAGTATGGCACAGCCTGGGCGTTTAGCCTGAGCCCAGTGACCTACCTGCCCTGTCCTTCCAGGGTTCGGTGGCACACAGGGCCAAGGGTGTCTGTGTCAGTGACAAGCACGTGGATCTCACCACATGCATCCATGGAGGATGAGCAAGTACGAGCTGGCATGACCTACCTCCTTCCCCTCATGGAGGTCATTTTGGACACATGTCCTCCAGCTCTCTCCCAGATGGTGAAACCGGAGGAAGACTTGCTTTGGGTCTGCTGTTCCTGGGCCAGTGGCCATCAGCCTGTTGCCCAGCCCTGTGATATGCTGAAGCTCAGGCCCTTCCTGGTGCCCTGGTCTCCTGCCCTGAGCTGTGGTGAGCACATCTCGGTCCCGCTGGATGCATATGTGAGGTGGTTGGTCCCCTGAGTTGGGTCGATGATGACAACCTTACATTGTCCTGAAGAGAGGTGATGACTTAAAAATCATGCTCAATAGGATTACGCTGAGGCCCAGCCTAGGTGAGAATTTTGGCAGAGAATGCTGGGATCCCGAGATCCCCAGCAGGGTTACTATATTTTGGGATGTTGAACTTAAGGCCCTGAAGGTCATCTCAGGGGTGCCCAGCCCTGTCTCTGTGCCCCTCTGGGAGGCAGCCCAGGCTCCCTGTGTGCGTTGGTGTCTGGGCTCTGGGTCCCCGGGGATGGGGCATATTGGCTACTCCTTCCTGAGCCCGTGTTCTCCCCCTTGTCTTTCAGTGAGCTCTTCTGCCCAGGTTGGCCCCTGGCCTGAAGCGGCATAGGTGAGTGTATCCTGTTGGGGTCGTGGGTCATGAAATAGGCAGCGTGGGGCCATTAAGGGTCAGCCTTCAGGCCACTAGGGTTTTCTCCGGGTGCCACCGGGGAGGGAACATTTCTCCAGTAGGGTCTCTTCCCTTGGAATCTGACCCCAGGAGCACTCATTTCCTGAAACCCTGCAGAGGTGATAGTGGTCGAGGCAGGAAAGGGTTCCTTCAGCCCAACATAGAGCAGCTCCCAGCTAAAACTGGTGGGCAGATCAGGCTGGAGGACTGCCCAGGCCACATGAGGAGGGCAACAGGGGCTCTAGGGCAGCCTGGGGGTTACACTGGAGTTCTCCCTGCCTGGACAGTAGTGGGTGATTGGGCCCACGCAGACAGGCCCCGCAGATTCAGGACTGCCCCCATCCATGACCCTGAATGGGACCGACCCTGTTGAGTAATGGGCCATCTTAGTGGTACCTCCTTGAGCCTGGTAGGGGGAGGCACTGTTTCAATGCAGTTGGATCAAGGCTGAGCTCTGGCTGGTGCCTGGTGGTGCTGCAGGCAGCCCTGGAGGTTGTGGTCTTTGGGCCAAGGGGGCAGCTCACATCCCGCTGGGGTCACCCCTTTCTTGAGATTCAATAGCATGAAGGGTGTCCTCCTGAGGTGGGAAGTCCTGCTGTCCAGGGACCTGTTCTGGGAATTTGCCCCACAGGCTACTTCTGAGCCATGGGGTCACCTCCAGAGTGGAAGGGTCTTGATCCCAAGGAAAGGAGAGGACACCACGTGGTTTCTGATTGGCCCAGTGTGGCCTGGCTCTGTGTGTAGGAGGTCTAGGGCAAGATGAAGACCCACCAGAGAAAGCATGTGACCCTGGAGGCCCCCAGGCTTTGATTTCTGGTGTGTGCTTGGAGAGGGCACCAGGGTGGGTACCCACCATGCCCAGGGCAGGCTCTGCGACTGCCAGATCTGCATTGGCTCATGGTGTCACGGCCAGATGCGTTGGTTGGCCATGAGCAGGTTGGTTGCTCTGACCTGTGCCCCATAGTCCCAGTGCGGCCCTGGGGTTGTTTGGGGGAGGCAGCCTGAGCAGTAGAGGTGCTCTTGGGGCCTGCAGTAGGGCACAGCCCAGGCATCTTGCCCCAGCACAGTGACCCACATTCCCTGTCTTTCCAGGGTTTGGTGGCCGGGAGGGCCAAGGGTGCTCCACGTCCATGTTGACTCAGTGTCTGCATAGATTCCATCACATGGGCATCCCCTACCCACCTTCCCCACACTGATACGTGAGGCCCTGGTTGGACACATGTCCTTCTTCTGTCCCTACAGATGGTGAGCCTGGAGGAAGACTTGTATTGGGCCCCCACAGGTCCCAGGCTAGTGTCCTTCAGCCTGGTGCTCATCCCCCAGTATGCTGAAGCTCAGACCCTACCTGGCACCCTGGTCTCCTGCACTGAGCTGTGGTGAGCACATCCAGGTTCTGCTGGATGCATGGGTGGGGAGGGGCTTGCCCTTGGTTGGGTCAATGATGAGAACCTTATATTGTCTGAAGAGAGGTGATGACTTAAAAATCATGCTCAATAGGATTACGCTGAGGCCCAACCTAGGTGAGAATGTTGGAAGAAGACACTGGGATCCCGAGATCTCCAACAGGGCGACTGTATTTTTGGCTGGAGACCTGGAGGCCCTGAAGGGCATCTGGAAGGAGGCCCAACCCTGTTTCTGTGCTCTTCCTTGAGGCAACCCAGGCTACCTCTGCAGGCTTGGTGTTGGTGCTGCAGTTCCCTGGGGCCAGGGAACATTGGTGGCTCCTTCCTGAGCCCCCATTCCTCCCTTGTGTCTTTCAGTGAGCTTTTCCTCCCAGGCGGGCCCCCTGGAATTGACTGGCATAGGTGAGTGAATCCTGCTGGGGTCATGGGCCATTAGCCAGGCCGTGTGGGGTAGCCGAGGTTCAGCCTTTGAGCCAGAAGGGTTTTCTCAGGCAGCCGACCTGAATTCCCACCTGAGAGAGATGGGTTCTCCAGGAGGGTGGCTTTTTTGGGAATTAGACCCAAGAAGGATACCCGAAGCACTGCAGGGGTGACGGTGGTCCAGGCAGGAAAAGGTTCTGTCAGCCCCAGGCAAGGCAGCTTCTAGCTGAGACTCGGTGCTTGGGTCAGTTCTCAAGGACTGCCTGAACACGAGGGGGTCCAGAGGGGCTCTGGGTTCCACGGGGGTCACATAGGAGCTCCCAGTCCCCGGAGTGTGGTGTAGGAATGGACCGTTAGGGTTGGGTCGTGGGCATAAAATGGTCGTTCCCCACCCATTGCCTGGAATGTGACCATCCCTATTGAGCAATGGACCATCCCAGTGTGTCTCCTGGAGCCTGGTAGGAGGTGGCATTGTTTTCCTGGGGTTGGGTCAAGGCAGAGCTCTGGCCCGTATGTAGTTGTGCTGCAGGTCAGCCCTGGGACTTGTGCACTTTGGGTCAAGGGGCAGCCCGCATGGCACTGGGGATCACCCTATCTCTGACATCAATGTCAGGAAGGGTGGCTTCCTGAGAAGGGACGGCCCACTGTCGAGGGACATGTTCCAGGATTTTGTTGCTCAGGCTGCTTGAAATCCATTGTGTCACCTCCAGGGTGGTAGAGTTTTGGGCCCAAGCAATGGAGAGGGCACCATGTGGCTCCCGATTGTTCAAGTATGGCTGACTCTGTGTGTGGGAGACATGTGGAGTATGGGTGGTGACCCACCAAATTTGCATGTGGCTCAGGCTGTGATTTCCAGTGCGTGCTTGGAGAGGCCACCTGTACACATGCCCCCCCTGCCCAGGCTATGCGACTGCCAGGCATGGCATCTGGGCCAGCCTTCTTGGTTGGCCATGACCTGGCGAATGGCCCTGTCCTGTGCCCAGTGGTCCCAGGGAAGCCCTGGGGTCATGCAACAGAGTCGTCTTGGGCAGTGGAGGTGCTCTCAAAGCCTGCAGTATGGCAAAGCCTGGGCATTTTGCCTGAGCCCAGTGGCCTACCTGCCCTGTCCTTCCAGGATTCATTGGCAAGCAGGTCCAAGGGTACCCCGTGCCAGTGACAAGTCCGTATTTCACATGGATTTCATCACATGTTCCTTGGAGGATGAGCAGGTGTGAGCTGGCATGCCCTACCTACTTCCCCACGTGGAGATCATTTTGGACACATGTCCTCCAGCTCTCTCCCAGGTGGTGAGACCAGAGGAAGAGTTGCGTTGGGCCTCCTGTTGCTGGGCCAGTGGTCATCAGCCTGTTGCCCAGCCCCTGATAAGCTGAAGCTCAGGCCCTTCCTGGTGCTCTGGTCTCCTGCACTGAGCTGTGGTGAGCACATCTGGGTCCCGCTGGATACATGCACGAGGTTGTTGGTCCCCTGAGTTGGGTCAATGATGAGAACCTTATATTGTCCTGAAGAGAGGTGATGACTTAAAAATCATGCTCAATAGGATTACGCTGAGGCCCAGCCCAGATGAGAATTTTGAAAGAGGACGCTGGGATCGCAAGATTTCCAGCAGCACCACTGTATTTTGGGCTGGAGAACTTGAGGCCCTGAAGGGCATCTCAGGGTGCCCAGCCCTGTCTCTGTGACCCTGTGTGAGGCAACCCAGGCTCCCTCTTTGGGCTTGGTGTCTGGGCTCTGGTTCCCCAGGGATGGGGCATGTTGGCGGCTACTTCCTGACCCTGTGTTCTCCCCCATGTCTTTCAGTGAGCTCTTCTGCCCAGGTGGGACCCATGGCCTTAAGCGGCATAGGTGAGTGTATCCTGTAGGATCATGAGCCATGAATTAGGAAGCTTGGGGCCATTGACAGTCAGCCTTCGGACCACTAGGATTTTCTCAGGGTGCCACTGGGGACTGAGCGTTTCTTCAATAGGGTCGCTTCCTTGGGAATCTGACCCTAGGAGCACGCAATTTCTGAAGCCCTGCAGAGGTGATGGTGGTCTAGGCAGAAAAGGTTCCTTCAACCCAACATAGAGCAGCTCCCAGCTGAAACTTGGTGGGCAGGTCAGGGCTCAAGGACTGCCCAGGCCACATGAAAGGGGCAATTGCAGCTCTGGGGCAGCCTGGGGGTCACGCTGGAGTTCTCCTTCCCTGGACAGTGGTGGTTGATTGAGCCCACGCAGACAGGCCCTGGAGATTCATCACTGCACCCCATCCATGGCCCTGATCAGACCGACCCTACTGAGTGATGGGCCATCTTAGTGGTACCTCCTTGAGCCTGGTAGGGGGAGGCACTGTTTCAATGCATTTGGATCAAGGCTGAGCTCTGGCTGGTGCCTGGTGGTGCTGCAGGCAGCCCTGGGGATTGTGGTCTTTGGGCCAAGGGGGCAGCTCACATCCCGCTGGGGTTTCCCCTTCCTTGAGATTCAATGGCGAGAAGGGTGTCCTCCTGAGGTGGGAAGTCCTGCTGTCCAGGGGCCTTTTCTGGGAATTTGCCCCACAGGCTGCTTCTGAGCCACGGGGTCACCTCCAGGGTGGCAGGGTCTTGATCCCAAGGAAAGGAGAGGACACCACGTGGTTTCTGATTGGCCCAGTGTGGCCTGGCTCTGTGTGTGGGAGGTGTAGGGCAAGATGAGGACCCACCAGAGAA